ATAACCTTGCAATTCCGGGTAACTTACGCCAAAGCTTGATACTGTTGCATAATAGTACACACTGAAAAGACTACTATTATTTTTGAAATCCCTGAATGAATAGCGTATATCAGTTCTTATTTTCACTTTAGTACGTCCTGCACTTCGAGATCGTAAAAGAAAATGAAAGCGACGGATGTTTGAACCCCATGCACAGAATGGCAACAACGTGACGACGTGAAAGAACGTTACCTGACGTCTTGAGGCGGTGGGCTCTCCAATACGGGCTGAACAGTTCGCTGCTTTTCGTTTTCTTCGTCGGCGAATATCCAGGCAACAGAAGGACTCAACAAACGAGGATCGACCTTCTGGGGATCATTCGCACCCGTTGCAAAGCTTACTATCAACCCTACCAGTACGGACACCAAGCAGCCGACCAAAGTGTACCATAGGTACGATATACGGTACAGCCCAAAAACATCGCTGAAATAAATGAAGAGCGTTAAACTGAAGAACACATTCTACAAAATTACTTGACTCAGTGTTGTCTTGAGTAATAAGTTGTAAAGGACGCTGAGATTTTGCTTTGTTACCTTAATCACAAAGTATTCTGTTATGGCAATCATGTGATATTAAGTTAATTTACTAAAATATTGTGGGGGCATTTTATTTTTTTCGTAAAATCATAAAATTAAAGAACAGTAATTATTATAGATTTATTACAATCTTAGGCATTTTAATAAAAGTAAGAACTGGAAATAGGTAAATTAATTGCATTAATTATAGCAATTTTATATTGAAAGAAATGTTGGGACCACAGATAATAACGTATTTCTGTTATAACTGACAATAAATTACCTTCTAGTTTGGTCGGTGTACTCTTGAAGTAATGTTTCATTGGTGACGGGCAGGGAATAGTTGTAAGTGCAACCATCCACTGAGATGGGCATCTTGTCGAATGAAATGGTTCCCGCAGCGATCGCTGTTTGTGTACCTATTATCACCCAACCAATAAAAAGTAATCCTACAGTCCCACCGGTTATCACGCCCTGCAAACGAAACGTTGAAATAAGTTTAATCACAAAATTTGATTGTGAGATGTACTAGCCAAGAAATACTAGCCAAGTATTGTGAACTAACATTCTCATAAAGCTTTGCCTTACCCGTAAGGATGGAAGCAAGTTTTACAATGTTAAATATGTGATAATTACTTTCATTATAAATTGATAATTTAATATTTAATATCATAATAATTTAAGACATTTAAAATATTTTGAATGATATTAATAAATATTATATATAAACGAATACTCTACATAATACGATAATTACCAGTGTGTTAATCCATGGGAAAAAGAGACCCATGGAAAACAGACCAAGAGTAGGGCCATTGGTAATAGATACCAAAGACAGTGCCATCTGAAAAAATTATTAAACGGGAGATATGAAATGGGATAATCATTACTTCACAGTGTTATTCTACAAAAAAGCAAAGTTTAAAGAGAAAAATAATGTTTAATATTTATTCGATTGTTTGCATATTTGTGATTCTCGACATTATAAGTTACGAAAGTTCACCTAACTTGAATGGAAAAAAAATAAATATGGTCATAGTACACAATTGCATCTAAATACTTAATTTGTAATTGTTGTGAAATTATTTATTATTAGCATCAATATTATCAGTATGCAATACAAAACTGACCTGTAAAATTGATCCCAGTTTCTCCACAACTACGACTAGACATACACATATAATTCCTGTGATAACTACCACACTTTTCATCAAGATATTTGTTTGTTTTTCTGTCAAAGTTGTTTTGAAGAAAGTTTTGTAGAAGTCTTCCAGAACTACGGCAGACATTGAGTTCAGGGATGTAGACATGGAGCTGAAATGTGGAAGATATTATTTTGTAGAATATAATTTTAATATCGCGTAAGACTCCCCCAGGAACTTCCAGGTCTTCATGGAACCTTCAAGTAAAGTAAAAACTTATTTCGTTCTTCTCTCATACTTCAGTCGTAAGCCCAGCTCCCTTGATTCTCAACCCAGCTCCTTTTCTTGTGTACCTCAGTATCGAAACTGATCTTGTAATTGAAATACTCTGCGTCTTAAATCTTATTAGATTATCTGGAAGGTTAGTGTAGCATTTACATATCAGTTCAATTAATCAATCCATTGTTTTAAAACAAAAAATATCGCTGATATACAATTGGATTAGCTCTTATACAAAAATAAATTTCCTTCCTGTTATAACATTACTGTGTACTACATTAATTTTCAAACATCCTAAAGCAAGAAGGGAAAATTAAACAAAAAGCTTTCACTTATTCAAAAAGTCTTTTTCTTGCTTATAATTTTCTTTTCCCGTCTCTCATTCACTTGTCAATAAACTTACAATTAATTTATTCAAAGTATTTTCATTGTATTCAAAAATAATTGTTAACGCAATTCATACCCTGAACTTACTACATTCAAATTATTCACAGAATTGTTATAAATGATAAAGTTACAGTTCATCAATGATTTCTAAACCTAGATTCAGTAAAACAATTAACAATCATTTGTATTCCTCTCGTTATCTCTAATTCGTGTATCTCCTATTTAATACTTCATTCATATCTACAGTCATTATTAAATAGCAAAAATAGATAATGAGAAATATTTCTTAGTAGAACGATTTCTTTTTTAAACTATCTATTCCTCAATTTTAGAATTTTAAATAATTTCAGATAGAATTCTCAAATTATAAGAAATTTTGGAGTCGTTTTGAGTTAAATCGTGAGAATGTTCTTAGGCTCAACATTCATGTATTCTGGCATTCTAATTTCTTCGGACCTTTGTAGCGAAACTGCTTAATTGGCAGCCTAAAGATTTCGTGATTGGAGCTCGATTCCCGCTGTTGTCTAGGCAGCATTTTTTACATTTACTTTCGCGTTGAGAAAGGTTAAATTGAGTAAGAGAACGATTTAGAAATCAAAAGATTACCTTAATGCTGCACTGAAAACGCCTGCAATGAAACACCCAGAAAGTCCAGGCAGATGCCCGATTGTACGCATCATCAGAAGAGGAAGTAACTGGTCAGTCCTCTTGGCTATCTGCAAAATAAGAATGGCACTTTACGCGTTGATCCTCGTAATACTCAAATAACTACGAAATTCAAAACCTTGATTTGAAATTTCACCTGTGTTGTGAGAGGATCGCAGTCATAATATGTGGCGTAAATGAGTAAACCAGCGTAGGAACAAAGAATCACAAGAAACACCGCTCCAAGGACGAAAATCCACACTGCCCTGGAGGCAAAAATTGCAGGGTAAAGCCATTTTATTTGGCGTACTCGTATGTAAAACTGCTTAACTATTTGTCGGAAGGAAACATAACTCACAATTTTGATTTCCCCAACGTGGGCAGGCAGAGATACCGTTGCATCATCATCTGACTGACACCGCTGGATTGCAGCCAGTGGAATAATCCTCCCACAATCAGCACTAAAAGAGTATGCCTCTCCAGAGGATCGATGCTGAGACTGTAGAGTGGAAAGAATAAAGGAAACAAATTAGGAAAAAATATAGAAACACGCTTCTAACTCCTTACATTATTATTATTATTATTATTATTATTGTTATTATTAATATTATTATAATATTTTCCTCTAATTAACGACTGAATATGAGTAACTTGAATATAAAATCAACTCGGGTAGCAACCAGTTTCCTAAGGAGCAGATCTAGGGAGTGTCGGAGCCTCTACAAAACTTTGCGCAAAATGTGGGCTGTTCCCAATAAGGCAATGTCTTGCACGTTCCAGTTCTTTTAATAACAGGGGAGTTTAGCCAAGATCTTGCACAAATTTTGTGGAACAAATTCCAGAGCTCCGATAACTATCGAGACGCCCGTTTGTACTCCACATCCAGCTGCTCTCAATTTCCTAACTCTTGTATTTAAGACATTTCTCTGCGGTAAGTTTGTCTCACGAGGGAAGCTCCCTAGTTCTGATGTGTGTGTGTGTGTGTATCGGAAAGAATAATAAGAGAATGCTAAGAAATTATTTGCATTCTTTTCTTTTCTCTGCTGTCCTTGACAACACGTTCCCAACAGTGGTGTGTGATTTTTTTGGCGTCTCGCGTTTCTTTTACTTTCTTGTAACGGAGTAGAGAGAAAGTTATGAATTGCCGCGCGAAAAAACGGCGAATTTTTGGCAGAAAAACTCTTATTACAAGTAACAAAAAAGTGGATAGATTCAGTTCTAAATGTAGAAAAAAACAACTAACATGCGGTGTAGCCAGAATACATTTTTTGTGGGTCTCTGATATAAAAAAATCGAATGACGACAAAACGTCTGTCTGTCTGTGGACAACGCTACCGGTAAATCGTTCAGTCGATTTTCTCCCTGATCGTTCCGGCTGATGTCGCGGCCCCAAAACTGATATTTTAATTTAGGTTACGTATTTTAATTACTTTACCTAAAGCTGCAGGGACATTTTCAAACTTTTCAAAAAAATTGCTTTGTTTTACTTAAATTTTAGTGTTGGGTAATGTGAAGGGCATTTAAGAGAATGGTGCAGGTCTCATATTCGTTTCAAAAGCATTTCATTACAAAAGTTAACATTTAAAATTTAACTAAAATATTAAAGATAGAGATTTTTTCCCACAATGAAATCTGTTACTTAAAGATAAGTTTTGAAATAAGGTCACGTACAATTTTTTGGAAATTTGAGTACTTTTCGTATAATTGTGCGTGAAAATACGGGCGAGAAAGTCTGTACTGTTTTAGCACCGCTAGTTCCCAATACTTGGGTGTCAGGTCAGTCTTTCACGACGTATTTCACCCCTCACCATTCAATTATTTTTGCTTCCATTCTTATAAATTTCACTTTTGTTTTCTTCTCGAGCTCGTCGATCCTTTTTCTTACGGTACCAGCATCCTGTACTATTGATTACTTTGCTTTCATAGAACAACCTAACACAAGGGTAGAAAGTCGTCCACTGCAATCCGAAAAGCGATGAATCGTTCAAAGATTGCCTCGAGCCTTTACATCCGCGAGTGGGTTACATGCTATTTTGAAGTGCCCTACAAGTGCCAACACCACTATATATGTAATGTTTTCATATGCGTTTCATATAAAAAGTTATCTACTTTGCTACATCAAACAGATTGAAAGTTTTCGCCGTACGGAAACTGATACAATGTTGATATTAAAACGTCGCTGTATTAAAACCTGGTTGGTAACACCTGAAAACTGACACTCTAGAACAAAAAGTTTATTTCTATTGTTTCGTGTTCTTCGCTGTCCTTGCCAACGGGTTGCCTGCAGACGTTCGTCAAAATGACAGGTTGTCTGACGTCCCACGTTTCTTTTTCTGGTTCGTGGGAACCACACGTGACTGGGAATGCATCTTCGCGTGGGCGCGTGACGCGTTCGCATGACGTGTCCTGACAGCTTTCAATTGAATTATCTTCGCTTCCCTACATTCATCTTTTGTTTTCTCTTTTCGAAATTGAATGCTTATTGCAAAGTCAATAGGTAGAAATTTTTCTCAGATATAATGATGACGATTAATTGCCGTCTACTGCTATACTCATTAGCTAAGAGGGTAATGAAAGTTGTGTCCCTCACAAGTGCTGTTGAGGACTCTTTCCCCAATGGACGACGAGATCCGTCGCCGACATAGATGCCGTCATGCACAAGATTCACTCCTCCAGTTATTTCCCTAGCACGGGACAACTGATCTGACGGTGTGTGGTAGAATATTGCATGTAATTGAGCGCCTAAGGGGAGAGAGATAAAGCCAAGGATGGGAAAGCCAACATATTTAATCGAAAGATCATGCTGGGATGTTGCTGCAGAATTCACCTGAAATTGATTGGAGAAACCATGGAAAACTCCCACCGGAAAATATGGCTCAGGGCGTCAACTGATGTCACTGCAGTGCCTCTAATCGGGTCATACGGTTTTAGTCCCAATGGTGGCAGGCTTTTCGGTATTAGCTACTTAGGACAAATTCAGCCGAGAGGAGAATTCTGTCGCCCGGTTGCTCTTATTGGTAGTTTTCGGTAGTTTCTCCGTTCAACGCTAGCTGAATGCCCTAACAAACGGGCCACGGACCGCGCGCGATCTCAACTCCCTACAGCAGGTCGCTGGAGTTCCTACAGACAGCGGTTGAATTTGAAGTCGTAGGCTTCCGCGACCAGAG